TTATTGGTAATTATAATAATAATATTATTAATTATTTTTGTTAATATTATTGCTGGAATTACAAGGCGTTAAATGGCACCGGTTAACCGGTGCCAAAAGTGGTTGCCACAAAAAAAAAATGCGCGGGCTTTATTATTGGCACCAATTAACCGATGCCAAATCCGGTTTATACCACCGGTTTTGAACCGGTGGCAAAATTGGGAGGTATTGGCACCCCCCACATTGTGACCGGTTCGAACCGGTGGCTTAAACCGAGTTTGAACCGGTGCCTTTCACGTTTATTCTACTAGTGCAGTTTTGAATTTGAACGACTTTTTTCCCCTCTTTCGCTTCCTCTTTGGGCGTTTGAGCCTGACAAAGATCGGAGTATGGTCCGAGTTAAATCTGACCAAGTGCTCAACATGAGCATCAGGGAACAAAGAACACTAGGGACTATTCCCATAGAAGCGATTCAGCCATTCTCTTAACACTCTACCTGATTCATTCCCCTTCTCCCATGTATACCAATGGCCATTAAACCCCAAGTCACGCAAGTCACAATCTTCAAGAGTGTCACGAAACTCGAGAATTTCTCTCCTAAAAGTATCTACACCCCCCTCCTTCTCAGCAGAGCCCAAGATTTCATTGAAGTCTCCTCCAATTAGCAAAGGGTTATGGTAATTTTGACACAACTCACGGATTAGAGTCTAAGTTTTGTTCTTATTCGAAGTTTCAGGCCAACGATATAATCTTATAAATCTCCAATTTCCAGAATCAGCAGAGCTAACATCACCACAGGTGTGGTTTTGGGAATAAGAAATAAGCGTAAATTTTATTTTATTACTATTCCAAAAAAATACACAAGCCTCCTGATAAACCTATGCTACTAACACCAAAAGCACAATCGAAACCAAGTCTCGAATTTTTTTTTTCAGAATCATAACTACTAATTTTAGTTTCAGAAAGAAAAACAATATCCGGGGCAAGAGAAACACACCACTTTCGTAGTGCGCGAACTGCCTTGGGGTTGCCGAAGCCCCTGTAGTTCCAACACAAAGAACTCATTGCTGTTCGCGGGGTTGGCTTGCTCCAACTCCCGCTACTTGAAACGACTTTGATTCAAAAAGCATACTCTCAGTCAGTTTCGCTTTCTTCTCTTGGTCAGGTAACCTCTCCTCTACATCACTGAGATTTACATGGTGTCTTTTCCTCACATTCGAACTTGATAGTTGCCCACCAGGTGGATCAAGCCCCCCTTCACGAGCTACTCTTTTCCATTTTTTTCACTTTTTCAACACCTTGCACCTCATCTGACTCCATAGCAACATGATGCTGTAATTCTGCCTCCACAAGGGAATTGGGAGGCAAAAGAGGAATTGCCTTCTGTCCATTTATCCACACACTCACATTGTGGGAATTGCTCTACTTTTCTAAATTAACAACCTGGCCAGGCTGCTCCCTTCTCAGCTCTTTTTTCTGCCCATTCTGCTGCTTCTCCAGACTGTGAGAAGCCCCCCTGTCCCAACTTCTCTGGAGTCTCAAAAAGTAACATTTTTGCCACACCAGGAGGTCCTAGCTTAATTGCACACGGGTCATCATAGGTAGGACGAAGGGTAAGCTTTTTCTCTTTCAGATTTTGTAGCAAATTTGCTTCTCTAATTCGCTCAGAATCAGTGACACGACTTATTTTTGTGGAGAACCTCGAAGAAAGGGGCCATATTGGTAGACCACCTCCTCCTCAGCTTTTGCACTTTCATTCAAGAATTGGAAATCCCTTTTGGTATGATCAAGTCTGCCACAGTAAAAGAAAAAAATCTGCTAGTCTTTCATACTTTATGCCAATCCATTTCGAAGAGGACGGACCAGTAGCTATTCTAAGTCCACGACGCAGCGGTTTCTCTATGTCAAGAAGAACTTTGATTCTCATTACCTTCTCATATCCCAAGGGATCTGATGCATCGTACTCAATGAAACCTCCAAGACTCTCTCCTACTTCATTCGCCACAAAGGCTTTTCTTCTGTTAAACGGGACATCTTCCAAGTGAATCCAGAAGGGGGATCGAGTGAACGACACCTCAGAAGGCTGCTTGTTACCAGATATATCCTTCAGCACAACAAGTTTATTGTCAAAAAACCAAGGACTCTTTTCAACAACTCGATTCTTCACAGTTTCATTAAAGAATTGAAAAACAAATACTACCTCCGTTAACAGTTATTTGCAACATTTACTAAAAAAAGGATGCTAACTATTATTTGCAACAAACTTATTTCTTTCCTATTTTAGTAATTTTTTTCTATCAAAATGACCAAAATACCGTCATTTAATAATTACTAACACATAAAATTACATATAATTACAGATTATTTTAACTCTAATCTAAATTAATTATCTAAGCCTTCCCACCCTAATAATCAGATTAATTTCAATGCATCTTCATTCCCATTATCTTTCTCTCTCTCCCTCATCTTCTTCATCTCTCAAAATTCCAAATCTGGTTGTCCATCAATGGTTCGCTTGTATTTGTAGTTCCATTTAGTGGTTTAAGGGTGGGTTTGCAGGTTTGTGGGGGTGGATCGTGGATTCGTGGGTTTCGGTGGTCTCGGTTGATTTTGGTGGTTCGTAAGGGGTGGTTTTGGTGGGTTTCTATTGTTCTTCGTTCTTCGTTGATCGTGGATTTCGGTGGTTCTTCACGGATATTGGTGGCTTATGTGGGGGTGGATTGTGGTTTCGGTGGTTCTTCGTTGATTTTGGTGGTTCGTGGGGTGGTTTTGGTGGTTCGTCGAAGGGTTTTGGTGGTTCGTCGAAGGGTTTCGGTGGGGGTGGTTTTGATGGTTTGTTAAAGGGTTTCGGTAGGGGTGGTTTTGGTGGTTCGTCGAAGGTCGTGTTTCAATGGTTCACCGGTGGTTTGCCTGGGTCCGTAGTTGAATTTTGGTGGTTTTAGTGGTGGTTTTGGGTTCTGGGTTTCGATGGCTTTGGTGGTTTTGATGGTTTTTGGTGGTTTTTGGTTTGGTGGTTCTGGGTTTTTGTGTAATTGTTTTTTTTTTTATTTTTGGAGTAGGATTAATACTTAAGGGCTTAAGCATATGCCTTACTTTTCAATAATTACACTTAAAAACTTTTTCCTAGGAGTCCTTGCAGACCCCCTTTGTTGCAAATAACTGTTAACGACGGTAGTAAGTTAGATTCCACCATCCGAATCGCAACCTCATCCTTCGCTCTTTAAATCGAGATTAGGGTTCTTTTGAAAGCTTCAAAATTAAAAGTCTTATCAGTCAATAATTTCCCCACCAAAGACAGAGAAATTTCGGTGTTCGAGGCATCATCAATTGCTTCTTCAAAGTCACCCCCTACAATCACCTCTTCCTCTTCTAACAATTTAAATTTCTCCCAATCTTTCAATAGTTCAGAGTCCATTGAAACAGAGAGCAGCACAAACTCTACACCAGGATCAAATCAACCAGACAACCAACACGAATTAACCCTAAACAGGGACAAGGCACCAAGTCAACGAGGAACCCAAATCGAGGGACAATTTCCTTCTGCGTTTTCTCTCGGCCTTGATTTTATTTTATTTATTAAAAAAAATTAAAAAAAAAACCTAAGCACTTTTGCCAAAATTAATAAATAAACTTTAACTTTAGTAAAACATTTTTTTTAATAGATATAAAGTAGTAAAAGTACGGAGTAAAACATTACAATTTTTTTTTTAGGGAATAAAACATTACAAATTAAGAATTAACGAAAACAAATAAGGAAACATCTCACCAAGTTTATTACTATTTGGAGTAACGAACTAATAGGTAATACATATCGTTTTAAATCCCAAATCATAACCTTCACACAAACACTAAGCTAATTAAAACACACAAACACAAATAAAATGAGCACCTTCTGTCATTATTACTATAACTAGAATAACATACATGATCAATACTAAACTTAGACTTAATAACTACCACCGCGACGGTTACTTCCACCATTAGCACTAACTCTTCTACGATTGTCACCACCACTTCCACTCCCACTCCTTTGACCACCACTTCTGCTCCCACTCCTTTGACCACCACCCCAACTCGCTTGACCTTGACTACCACCACTATCCCTTCCTTGACCATCACCTTCACTCACACTTCCACTATCATCTATGTAACCAAGAGAAATGTCAGGGAAGCGGTTTGGGTCAGGAATAAGTCCGGTAAATCCCTCGGTGTTTCGAATAAATTGAGGGTTGAAAGGAGAATAACTCGTGCGACAAACTGGACAAAAATTCAAACCATTTTGGCGCGCCGAAACAAAACAATCGTCATATTAGACGACATGTTGGCCCAAAATTTTCACAAAAGCAATACAACTATATATATATATATAGAAAGTATTCAACATATTAAGTCCCTGGCCTAGGGTTCGTTGTCCTTGTCTAGGGTTTGGCGATTTTGTTTTCTCTACGATTTCCTCTGCAATCAATCTCTTCTCTTTCTTCTATTCTACAACTGTTGGATATACTTTGAATTATTTTGAAAATAGATAATTATCAAGAAAATGGTCCATTTATTTTGAAAATTAGTTTCCCATGATCAAGGAAACTAACTACCCATTATCCCACTAACTTAGGAAACCACTCATAACAAACTCACGTAAAGTAGGAGTTTTTTATGGCAAAACTTCCTATATATATGTAATTCAACGTGAGTCTCATTCAAGCAACAAGGTCACTGCATCCAACTCTCAAAAATACATATACACCATCAAAGTGAGAGTGAGGGTCCAGCACCAAAGTTGAGAAGAGATTGTTCACGGTTTTGGTGTCGCGACGAGGTTGTTCGAGTCTTTGCCTTCCTTGTAATTAATTTGCAATGGCTGGAGGTATACTAATCAATTATCGCTTCCGCAATCATGTTTTGTATGTTTACAATTCAACCTATAAACATATTGTTTGCTCACTACTACAAAAACAGTTTATTAAGGCGCATTGGTAGCCGCGCAACATGTTAATAGTGCTGAAATATGCACTTTCCGTGTAAAATTAGAGCGCTTATTAAAAAGCACTGCAATATAGCGTTGTTACAGCCAAAAAAAACCGTGCCACTTAGTTTTTTTTATTTTGTGAAATATTTCAAAACTCCCACGACTCCCACTATACTTCTGCAAATCCCTAACCTATCACTACTGAAAATATGAAATTGCCCCAATTGTGCGCTCATCAATCTCCCTAATCTCTCTGAATATCATCCTCAAATTTTTACTTGACGAACCATAAACATTTAATTCGTTTTCTTTTTGCTGAATTTTCCCTTTTAATTTGCCCAATTCGTCAATTTTGTTTGAGAATTTTAATCGACCCATACAAATTCAAAATTCTCATTCTAAGGTAAAGTTTTTCTCATAATTTTTTTTTTCTATTGAATTTCCCCTTTTAATTTACTTAAATTCTCTGTTTTGCAAATTAATTTACACGATTTGCTGATTTTTTGCCGGGTTTTGTCAATTTCTAATCTTTATATGTTTATTTCGCCAATTCCAATTGCAATTTGCTGAATTAAGCTCAGTTTTGCCCATCAATTTCGGCTATAATTGCAGATCTAATTTCAATATTCTCGAAAAAATTCTTGTCAAAAAGAAAGAGATCCAGAAAAGAGGCTACTTTCAGGTATGTTTATTGCATGTTTATTTAGATGTAATTTCGTCTATGTAATGCATATTTTCTCAGCAATTTTTCATCAATAGAAGTGTTTAATGTTTCATGTTGCTTATCATGTGCTGTGTTTAATTTCTTTGGCTATCAATTTTGTAATTATGTATTCTTGAGTGTTTAATTCATTCTTTAGTATATACCCTGATTACTCATGTCTCATAATTCTGTATAAGTAATGAAATTAATAAGGTCCAATGATATATCTCAATCAAATTGAATATGAATTAAACCAGTATGATTAGATTCTCAAAACATCATGTCAATGAAATTAAACTTGGTCGTTTGACACCTTTAAGCCATTAGACATATTGTTTCTATCATAGTATGTTAGTTTTCATCCACCTCAAACATGAGACAGATTGTATTAAGAGTCCTTTACTTTGCAATTTATAGGCTTACTACATGTTTAATGCATTAGTAACTACACTGTACTTCATTTCACACCCCCCCCCCCCCCCCCCCCCCCACAAAAAAAGAAAAAAAAAAAAAAAAAGAAAAATGTAGAGTAGTTAACTTGACTATAGAGTCTGTGGGCACTTTTTACGATTGGATTTGTGGAGTTTGTGATATGCATCTTCTAGCCTATCCTCTAGCCTATTTTAATTATGTGTCAGTTGGTTATATAATATTGGTTGGTATCCTAATTGCCTATACACAACTATATAAGATATGTTATTGGAGATAATCCAACAAAACTAGATGCAAAGAATAAAAGGGTAAGAAAAAAGATTACATGGAATAGATTGTTGATTAGGGAAGAGCCTAGAAATATAGGAAGTAAATGGATTTATGATATATAGCTTTAGAGAAGGCTAGTGTTCATGTATGTGGGCATGAATTCTTGACATGATATATTTGTAAGTAAAAAGTTGCTGCTCTAATTCTTTTCTTTGACTTGTTGTTCTCCTTTATTTTTTTTGGGTCAAAAATCACATCGGCTTCTGATATAATAAGAACATGAGCCAAGCCTTTTGGAGAAAAACTTGTATTTTAATCTCAAGTGATATTTCTGTAATCCTAGACTAGGGTATATATATATATATATATATATTACAATCTTGTGTTTCACATGGTATGATATAGGACAAGAATCTTAAAGGTTAGTGCTTATAGGTGTCAAGGGATCAAATTTCTTTTCTAAAGCTGCAGTAAGACTAGTAAAGCACTGCATTCTCGATATTTGGGGGTGGGGGGATGAATTTTAATTTGTAATTATAAAAATTCAAATTGTTGGTAGTGTATAAGACATCCTCAACCCAAAAGAACGTATTAAAAACCAAAGAAAGAAGTCTACATTAGGCTAAAATATCTTCTTAATTTAATTCATTTAAGCTACTTAAAGTTATTAGATTATTTGAAAATTATATCTACTATATGTTATATCGTGATTGCCTTTTTCCTTTTCGCCTAATAAATTAAACTCATAAACATTTCATTCTCCAGTGTTGTTCATTTTCCGTCTCCTAGTTACATAAGTTGCTTATTTTTCTTTGGTATGATTACTTACTAGAATCATATAAAAGAAATATGTTGTGTGAACTTGGAAAACTTAATTAAGGATCGTACTAATCTGGTTACAATTTTTTTTCATTACTTTTAAGTGAAATTGGTTGAACATTGTCGTTTGCGAAATTCTAAATTAACACTTTTGCATATTACATTGACGATAATGTTAGTAATGTAGGAACTATTAATTAATACTTTGTTTAATGTTGGGAATGTCTCTTTCATCTTTGAGTGTTTAATGTTGGGAATGTTAGTAATATGTATGTAGTAATTTTCCAGGTTTGATTTCTTATTATTGATTGGTACATTTGCGCCTTTTAACTTGATGATATGGAGTTGATAACTTTTCTCCTTTGTTATTTTTGTAGGATGTTGAAGCTTCTCCCAGAGCTAACAATGACACTAATCGTAGAGATTAGTTATTGCGTTACCAAGGTTAGATTGGTTATTAAATGTCTTACATTTATTTTTTTTTATTTTTTATTCATCATATAATAATTTTTAATATAGTAGTTGACTATTTGTTTTCACTCATGTAGGGTATGCTTTGGCAACTTCAAAGTTGGAACATGAAAGCAATTTTAAAGCATCAATATTTAGTCTTATAAAATAAATCTTATATTGGCATAGATTTGGTTTTGGCATTAAGTACATTCTAGCTACTGAACGTTTTTTTATTTTTTTTTTAGGACTTTAGATGGTTATTTGTTTAAATGATTTTAGGTACTTTATTTCAATGTCTCTTGTTTGATGACATTTATGACTATAATTTATTTTTAATAAAATTTTTGGTGTTTACAATTTTATCATGTAAAAAACAGGTTATTTAGTAACGCTCTAAATGTTATTATAGATGCTATTACAGAACCACACCATTGTACATCTTGCGATGTTAAAAAGTGCCTTTACATATTGTAAGATAGTGTGGTAGTTTACCTCTTACGACGCTTAAAAGTGCCTTTATAGGCTATAGGTAAGTGCGTTACATAAATAATGCCGGCGCTTAAAAGTGACACCAATAGTATAGAAAAGCACTCCCTTACAAGCTATGGTGGCGCTTACAAGTGCCTTGGTAGGCTATGTACTATGCGGGTTCCAAGGAATTGGCGACGCTTACAAGTGCCTCTATAAGATGCCAAAAAGCACGTCAAGGTCGCGACGCTTTTTTAAACACTATACCGACGTTATTAAATAGTGTCGCTATAGGGTCTTGCGGCACCGGCTTAAACGATACTTTTCGTGGCGTCGGTAAAGGGTCTAGCAGCGCTTTTTTGCGTCGCAGGAGCCCATTTCTTAGTGTCGCAATATCCCTTTCCTGTACTAGTGGCTATACATGATTTACATTTGCTATCAAGAGCCATGTTTTCCTCTTCCTTGCTTAGTTAGAATCGTCAATATTTTTTTTACATGCTGCTTAAATTGACGATGCAACAATCTCGATTGTGTTGGGCGATTATTTCATATATGCTACTGTATAATATGTTTTTGGATAAGGAGTATGCATGAAAGCTATGATTTTAATGTATCACTACTACTTGATGTTTCTGTGTATATCGTATTCATCATCACATATTTATATTTTCACATATCTTTTTGATTTATGTATATATAAAGTATGGATATCCCCTCTGCATGCATTGTTTAATGTTTATACAATATATTTGCATTTATCCAGTTACATAATTATAGTATGTGATAAATTAAAATAATAGGAAAAGGATTTCTATTAGTGCTATTGCGGTAAAATCGTTTTCATATGCAACGCATTAATAGTCAGTATGATAATTATTTGCATACTTTATTAATCTTGTAATACATCATTGTTTAAGGATTTTGTTATTCATTTTGGATCAATTGGATAATGAATTAAATTGTGTAAATGTCAAGTCTGTTAAGGTTTTATTATTTAGGGAGTAGCCACAACATCTCTATTTATTAAAATTTTATATAGAAATCACATGTGGAAACTAGAAATTTGTTTGTAATTAATCCTCTATGATATAATAAGACTTACCCACAGGAATTTTATTATATTAGAATGATTAATTAGTGAAGTATTGAACTTTGTTTCTTAAATGTCCCACAGGAAATTAAGAAATTGATACAATTTAATAGCTTCACTGTTTGATTATTATATTATGTTTATCTAATTGAGTAGAACTTTAGCCCACAGGCAAGTTTTATGTCACTAGATTTATGTATTTACATGATTTACATTGGTAAAGCATGATTATATTTTACAGTCTATATTGATATTAAGCATTTTTATTTATTTTTTGCAGTAGTTTTACCTGGAAATATTTCTGATGTCAAATGTGACATTCCTGAACTAAGGGGTGATAACTATAAGGTGTGGAAAGAAAGAGTGTTGCTGCAATTAGGATGGATGGATATTGACTATGCTATTAGGAAAGACGAACCACCTGCCATAACGGAGGATAGCACTCAAGATGCAATTAGTCTTTATGAAAAGTGGGAGAGGTCTAACCGTCTCTCCGTTATGTTCATAAAGACTAAGATATGTGCTAGTATTCGTGGTTCTGTCGATAAGCATACTAATGTCAAAGAACTCATTAAGGCCATGATGAGCAGTTTACAACTTCTGACAAAGCTCTTGCTAGCACCTTAATCATGCAGTTTTCATCCATGAAGCTCACTGAGACCAAAGGAGTGCGTGATTACATCATGCGCATGAGGGATATAGCAGCTCAACTTAAGGATTTGGAAGTTACCATGTCTGACTCTTTCCTAGTGCATTTTATTCTGTGCACTCTTCCTAATCAATACGGCCCTTTTAAAGTCTCTTACAACACACATAAAGATAAATGGTCAATTAATGAACTTATGACCATGTGTGTTCAAGAGGAGGGAAGATTGGCTATGGAAGAGAGTGAAAAGGTGAACCTCACAACTTCTGAAAAGAAGAAAAGGGATCACACTAAAGAAAAGGGAAAGGGAAAGATTCCAGCAAAGTCATCCATTAAGAAGGAGTCTACGTGTTTCTTTTGTAAAAAGAAGGGACACATGAAGAAAGACTGTACCAAGTTTAAGGAATGGCTTAAGAAGAAAGGTAATTTTTTAGCGTTTATTTGTTATGAATCTAATATGGTTGATGTTAATTCTAATACATGGTGGATTGAATCTGGTACTACAATCCATATTTCGAATACCTTGCAGGGTATGACAAACCTAAGGAAACCAATGGGGAGTGAACATAACATCTATTCAGGCAACAAGATGAGTTCGCATGTGGAAGCAGTTGAGACATGCAGCTTAACTCTAAGTAGTGGTTTTATTTTGCATTTAGAAAGGACATTTTATGTTCCAAATTTCTCTAGAAATTTGATTTCAGTTTCAAGACTTGTACCTTTGGGATTTTCCTTTAATTTTTCAGATTCTGGTTTCAGTTTATCAAGAAATTCTGAAGTTATTGGTTATGGTATTTTGTCTAATGGTTTATATTGTCTTAAGTTGCCAAATGATATCACTCATAATTCCATGCATGTTAATATTGGTTTTAAAAGATGTATTATGAATGAAAAATCCTCTATGCTATGGCACCGGAGATTAGGACATATCTCCATTGAGAGAGTTAAAAGGTTAGTAAAGGATGGGGTACTTGATACTCTAGACTTTGCTGATTTTGAGACATGTGTTAGTTGCATTAAAAGGTGACTATTATTCTTCTCATCATATTTAACTATATATTTATGCTTACCTACTTATTAGTCATGCAATTTTAATCTTATAAATAAATAAACTTAATGCATTCCTTAAAACAACAAAATATAATTTATAAAAAACACTATAGACAAAAATTACTTTAGCTATAAATCTATAATTTTTAACTATTGACTTTGGTTCTTCTGTAACAAGTACTGACTTTTATGTCCTATATACACTGACTTATATAATAGTGAGGTTTTTGTGTTTTCAATGTCATGTACATCATTGTATTGTCTTAATAATTTATCATTCTTTTATAACAAACAAAAAGTGATTGATTTTATAGTACAAAAATTATGGATTAAAATTTATAATTGCTAAACTAGCTAAATTAGTAAAAGATGTTTAAAAGAAACACGTAACAAATTTAAACTTAGAATTGAACACTATCCTTTTTTTTTGGATACCTAATATTAAATATTTTAATTCACTATAACACAATGACATTAATTAATATTTGTTAAATATGTTTTTTATAAAAAAAAAAAGTAAAATAACTCGAAATATGTTTCAACTGCTAATAAGGTATATATAAATTTTTCGGCTCACTTTATCACGGTGCAAGCACTGTCCCAATGGTCACTTAGCATGCAAGTCTATTCACTTTATAAGCAAATGGTCTTGGGTTCTCGATCCTTACCAAAGCAATATCGTCCTCCCCTCCACCCCTTTTTGTTTATCCTTTTTTTTTTGGGATACCAAATATTAAATATTTTAACTCACTTTAACACAATGACATTAATTAATATTTGTTAAATAAGTTTTTTTTACTCCCATGAGATCGTTTTGTCGTCTGCCATTTTGGTTTTTACACTCCAACTTTCTTTCTCTCTCGAATCTCACTCTCTAGTAAGCTAAAAACACTGCAACACCAACACCAAATTAAGATTAGGGAGTAAAAACCAAAATGGCAGACGACAAAACGATCTCATGGGAACAATCTGGAGAAATCATCCACAGAGTTTCCAAACAATTCAAAACTCGAGAGCAAATCCTCAAGTTTACGCAACTTTGTATGACTTATAATTTCATAGACCAATTAAAATGCAATAATTTAAATTGTATGACTTATATAGTTAAGGTTATCTATGTCCATAGAGTCTAACAAAATGCAACATGTAGTAGCCGTAAACTATTAGGCAATATAGTCTAACAAAATCGACGCTCATCTTGAATAACAAATAAAATTTATGGAGCGTCATCACCGAAAAAACATCTAGCTGTGCTCATCAGAGTCTTACTCGTCTTCCTCTTCCTTGTACCCCACTTGTTCTTCCTCTTCTTCTTCCTCTTTCTCTTCCTCTCCCTCTTCCTCTTCCTCTTCCTTTTCCTCTTCTTCGTCCTCTACCTCATGTTCATCCTCATGATTAGCCTCATCTTCATACTCAACCTTTGTCCGATGCATCTTCAAGTACAAAACACATGGTTAAATATAGGCTATTAGGTTTTATCTTATTTAAAAGCTAACTTAAACTCAAAAATTTTAACAGAACCTTAAGTTAAAAGGGATAATGTAGTTCTTTAATTATATTATGTACGAGTATTAATTGAAGTGTAACTTTTTTTTTAAACGGATTTAAAGTGTAACTTAACAAAACCGTACATAACTAAATTATTGTTACAAACATAATGGAAGTGAGTATGTGGGTGAAGTGAGTACATTCATTTTCCTCATTAAAAAAAACAAAAAAAAAACACCTAACTAAAAAAAAAAAAGCTGTTAAGAATAATTTTTTTTTTGTTTTTTTGAATAAAGAATCATTTATTCCTAATAAGTGCACTACAGCCTACAAGATGACAGACCAAAGAACTGAAAGAAGGGAATAATAGCTTCAATATAACAAGCATAAATCTAGCAAAAACCATGCATAAAGTGGGAGTTCAATCTACCTACCTAACAATTAAATTCTCTGACATAGATTGTACTCTAAAAATCCACCTATTAGGCTATTAGGTTTTCACCACTCACACTGACACTAGCCCTTTTATGTCACTATTTTTAAAAAAAATAAATGTACAACAATTATTTTTTTAATTGCATTGATATCACTCACTACTCCTACATTATTTTAGATAGATGATATCATTTAACTTTAGCTTTTAAACAACCAAACACAAATTACTAATTTACTATCATACTTA